TCGTTACATAGTCCGTTATATTGAGACCTATTTTTGGCATAGAAAGTGATCCAATTGGAGAATTATGTCTGAATCAAAGTTGTAGCCAGATGAGTTAGCTTTCCAACGCATTTTGAATCGCCTCAATCGGACATTGAAATACAAAGTTATGATAAAAACACTGAAGGAAGGTGCAGCTGCCTGTTTAAAACAAAAAATTCCGTTATATAGTCCGTTATATTGAGACATATTTTTGGCATAGCAAGTGATCGAATTGGAGAATGATGTTTGAATCAAAGTTGTAGTCAGATGAGTTAGCTTTCCAACGTATTTTGAATCGCCTCAATCGAATATCGGAATATAAAGTTATGATAAAAACACTGAAAGAAGGTGCAGCTGCCTGTTTAAAACAAGAAATTCCGTTACATAATCCGTTAAACCAACAAATTCCGTTAGATAGACACTTTTTATATATAGAAAGACGTTACATAATCCGTTAAACCAATAAATTCCGTTAGTTTTTCCGTTAAACCAACAAATTCCGTTAAATAGACACTTTTCATATATAGAAAGATATAAACAATTTTGGTGATGAGAAAACTATTATGAGGGAAGGCAGAATCTAATCAAGTCAAAATCAGACACAACGCATTCCGTGAGCGCAAATTTCACCGCCTCTCCTCTCTGCCATCTCCGAGATTTGATATACTCATATACACGCCCATTTTCATTTTCCTTCCTCTTCTGCTCTTCTAATTCTTTATAATTAAACCACCCACCTGCACTCTTGCCCACCCTCTTTCGCTCCCTAATCTGTGTTTGTGTGCGCTATTTTCTTGGCGACATACCCTAAGCTCGCAATTTTCTTTCAAGAACTGCCTATTACACAATTAAAACTTATAAAAACAACATGGCTGAAAATCCCATTTCAGGTTCATCATTTTTTTTATAACGTCTGCTTCTCTTTGTTAATTTCATGTGCATCAAAGTACAGTAAATTGTTTATGTAGTTATTAGATCTTTGAATCTTGATCAAGATCAGAGCTTTCTTGAATGCTCCTTATTGTGTAATTCACATTTGGGATTACTTTCTTAGTTCTTAATTCGACCATATTGTGATAATATAAGTTTTATTGGTGTTGGATTATCTTATTATTGTTGATTGAATATTTTCTTATGTTTTCTAATTTAATACTATAACTGGTAAATAATTGGTCATTTGCATTTTTCCTTTTGCTTCATTACGTTGGAGGCCTGACTGAATTTGTTGAATTTAATCACTAATCATTGGATTATTAAAAAAATTCTGGATTGTTTAAATTGCGTGGTGTTCTTGATTAATCAATTTTTGAGAAAGAATACAAGCCCCCAAGTATTTCAAATTTTTTGCAGTTTAGGAGAGAGAATTTTACGTCTGAAATTTAAATCTCTCAGAAAATTTCTAATTCATTCTTTCTTTTAGTTTAAAATACAATCCTTTAAACACACCTCCGAGTATAATCTAAAGATATGTTTGTACACGGTGTTGTTTACCACTGGAAGTGCAGTTGATGGGTTTTTAATTTTCTTTTTTTCATTAATACTATCCAGTCCAGGTAACATGCCATGAGCAGGGAGATTATCAAATTGCATATAGTATTCTTGACCGAATTCGTCTACTCTATGTAGGTGATTTCCAAAGTCTCTCCCTCAATACAAATGGGGGGTCAGTAGATGAGAGTTCCCTTGTCATTTGCTTTGGGGAAATGTTGATAGATTTCGTTCCAACCGTAGGTGGAGTTTCACTTGCCGAAGCTCCTGCCTTCAAAAAAGCTCCAGGTGGTGCTCCGGCTAATGTTGCTGTTTGTATAGCAAAGTTGGGAGGTTCCTCTGCTTTTATTGGCAAGGTACAGTATTCCCTTCGTCTTTTAAGAACTTTATTGTCATAACCACCAATTTTCTCCGATAATATGGTGTTCCCAATGTTTTAAGAGAAAAATGAATGGTTAGAGACCTGGTGTTTTCTTACTTAAAAATCCCTCTTTATGTTACCTAGACTCACCATAGGATGAAGTGTAGTCTGATTCTTGTTAAAGCATGAAGATTAAGAAACTTAAGAGTCAGTTCATATATTGAACAGGTTTGACCTACTGTACTTGTCTCAAAAGATATCACACGTAGTTATGTCTATCACTCTGCATGACATTAAGCGCATGTTTGGTACACAATATTGGACTAGAATAAGCAATACATTTTTTCCTTTAACACTGTCCAATTCACTTTACCAAACACGCCAAAAGCTTAAAAAAGTCTTGTGTAGACATATATTTAGACATGTGATTTTGATGATGTAACACTTTTGACGATTTTACCTTGTGGCCTATGATCACTAATCTCTTCGTCTTGTAGCTCCCTCTCTCTCTCTCTCTCAATTTTCTATGAATCCATTTGTTAATTTATTTCCTTTCAGCACGGTAGCCAAAGTACTGTGCTTTACATTGTCAGTGACTCCTTATCTTTATTTGGGATGAGCATATGTCCATTACTATATTGCACAATTGTAAAGGTTAAAGAAAACAAGGCATTTATCTCTTAGGTGGGAGAGGATGAGTTCGGGCGTATGCTAGCTGACATATTAAAAGAAAACAAAGTTAATAATTCTGGTGTGCGGTTTGATCCCTATGCAAGGACTGCACTGGCATTTGTTACACTCAGAGCCGATGGTGAGCGTGAATTCATGTTTTTCCGTAATCCTAGTGCTGACATGCTTCTTCATGAGTCAGAACTTGATATAGACCTTATAAAGACGGTATGATTTCTGTAGCCCACTATATTTAAGGATCGAGCAGAAGATACGCTGATAATAGTTTAATTAGTTATATATTTTAATGCAGGCATCCATCTTTCACTATGGTTCAATTAGTTTGATTGAAGAACCATGTAGGTCAGCACATCTTGCTGCAATGGCCATTGCCAAGAAGTCTGGTAGCATACTCTCTTATGACCCAAATCTGAGATTGCCCTTGTGGCCTTCAGAAGAAGCTGCTAGAAAAGAGATAATGAGCATATGGAACCAGGCAGACGTTATAAAGGTACTTATTTTATCATCAGCTACCCTTTCGTGAAGTTCTGAAGTATTCTGGATAGTGTTTAATTTAGTACACTTTCCTCATCATAAGATCTGCTGTTCACATTCATAGATAACCAGGCTTGTATAATCTGATAGATAAGTGAGGAGGAGATTACATTCCTGACTGAAGGTGATGATCCAAATGATGATGATGTGGTGTTGAAGAAGCTTTTTCATCCTAATCTTCGTTTGTTGCTAGTAAGTGAAGGAAAGGCTGGCTGCAGATATTACACAAAGGTACACCTATGCAAATTTACTACTTCTGCAAATCTTAACTGTGAGCACGTTTTGGCTAAGCTTACGAAGTTTTCCTACAAGTAAATAAGTAATTTTTTAGAAGTAAATAACTTTGTTTACTGGTAACAATGTTAATTATTTTGAGAGGTAAGAGTTACACTTAAACTAACTATTTTTACTTAAAAGTAAGAAAAAAGGAAAGTATCGAAACATGTTTGGAAACAATAGGTTACTCTTGTTAAGCTTCGCTGAGCATGCTCTATATCCATTGGAGTTTGCTTCTGATACTAATTTTGAGGTTTTCACTGGGAGTACCCAGTCGATTTGCTGCATACTTTTCTCTTTCCATTCTATTGAAAAATAAAATAGCAGTTAGGCAAATAGTATGCTCTTTTCTGCAGTTAAAGTGTGTGCCTGATTTTTCTCCATAGATGAGGGCTGTGCATTCAGAAAACAGGTAGCCGTGAAAAGGCTATTCATCTTCACATGTATATAGTTGTTTTCATCAAGTTCCGCTAATCAAATCAGAGAGTTTTGAATAGAAAATATGTTTTTCTTAAATAATCAAGTACGCTACGAGATAAACCAAATTCCCTTGCAGCAATTTAAAGGAAGAGTTCAAGGTATTAAAGTCAAACCGGTCGACACAACTGGTGCTGGTGATGCATTTGTTGGTGGAATTCTATATTGTTTAGCTTCTGATATGAATCTTTATCAGGTACTATCTTATCAAATAGGTTATCTGGCATAACTATAATGATATTGTTTGGTTGCATCTTCTTTCCAATGATTTTTGTAGGTTTATTCATCTGCCAGAATGATTAGACGTTCTTTATATTTTCTAGTTTCCAAAAGAATTTTAGTTCTGATGCCCACGAGGATCCTGGTCCTAAATCTATGCAACTGGCATGTGAACACCTCGTCTAAAAGCTTTTAAGCTTCTAGAATGGACAATTATTTATTCACGCCTTATCTTCAAAAGTTTTATCGAAGGCCTAACCCTGTATAATTTTCATATAAGGTGTTAAACCACATCGTCTAAAAGTTTAAGCTATTAGTGACAGAAATAATACGGAGCCTGGATATAAATAAACACATGGCATTCGTTGGAATATAAACACCCATTAGGATTCATATAACCAATATTGAGTAAACTGGAATATTGCTTTAGCTGTTGTTGGTTGCTTTTGTCTACAGATTTGGACTATAAATCTTATTTCTAGAGATATTATAACATTTTGATGCGATTCTTGCAGGACGAGAAGCGGTTAAGAGAGGCTATTTTTTTCGCCAACGCTTGTGGTGCCATCACTGTGACAGCAAATGGTGCTATTCCTGCCCTGCCTACAAAACAGGCAGTCCAGCAGATGATAGCAGAAGCTGCTGCATAAGAAATCACAAACGCTCCTTTTTCCTTCACTTTTCATTCGACAAGCAATCGCAGAACTCGACTGCTTGTATCTAAGTTTTACATGTAGATAGGGATAAAAACCCTGACGAGTCACAAGGAAACAGAAAGTTATGCTAGAATAAAATCTTTGTAACATCCTGGGATGTTAGATTTGTCTAGGTGTACCAGATTATGTTGTTCTTTGCCTGTTAAATCAGTTTCAGGATAATGCAGTCAGGAAGTACAATGATACAAGTAAATCAAGTTTTAGACTTGAGACTAAATATGGAAATTGCGCCATTGGAAGGTTAAAAAGCATCTGAAGTTCAGCTTTCTGCATGGATATTTTTATTTTATTTTATTTTATTTTTTTCGTTCTTGAAGGAAACCCAATGGCATGGTCAATATTTGTAGGAATAAAATTGATGTTCCTCATCGAAGACGAGAAAATGAATTTGATATATACGTAACAGGACGTGTTAGAAATTTAATCTAAATAAATAAATGTTAATTATTTAAATTTTTAAATGAGATGAAATGCTAAAAGTAATGAGAAACGTCAAACGAGTTAGAGAATACTTTTCAATCTCGTAATGAAAGAGATTTAAGACTTAAAAATTTAATCTAAATAAATAAATGTGTCAATTCTCTAATTATTTAAAATTATTAAATGAGATGACATGCTAAAAGGAGTGAGACATGAGTGAGAATACTTTCCAATCTTGTAATGAAAGAGATTAAGACCATGTTTGATACCTCTTTTTTTTCATAGGAGATGTAAATTAAAATTCATTTCCAACTTTTGACATGTTTAATTGGCCAAATTTTCCATGGAATTTGTTTTCCACATTTTCTTTGTTTTTAAGGAAAAGCTTTTCTGGACAAATTTTTTTTGAAATTTTTTTTTTGCAATGGAAATAAATTCTATCTCCAATTGTAATAAATTATATCCCTTTAATGGACAATTTATATGGAAAACAAAGCCAAACGAATATCGAAAGATTCAAAATTTCAATATTTTTCAAGTGAAAAATTATATCAATTAAACACAATTAATTGACAATTCTCAACAAAACAAGTTTTAAACAATTCAATTCCCTGAAATTCATTTTCTTTCCACCCAAATTTCATTCTTGCTATCAAACGGACCCTAAGACTTTGTTCACTATTGAAAGAAAGCTCCTTCCAAATGAATCGAGCAAGAATTGAACTTACATATTTTTACAATTAGGTTCTTTATCGATTCAGCAATAATGAAATTGATTTCTTACCTTTATTGGATAGGATAAAAAATTTTCACTGCTAATGTGACAAAAAAACTTTACTCATAATTGTAAAGTTCGTACAACATAGAGAAATCTTTATCCTGTCCAATTGAAGGCAAGGGATCAGGGAATGGATGCAAAGCTAGGGACTATTCGAGAGAAGCTACTTGTACGGGTGGGTGGACGATGGTTGGGTTTTTTGACAATCTCTCGCACATGGGGTGGATAATTTTTTTCTATTTTTAATCACAGTGGGGTCCACTATTGTGAGTGGTTGTTAACCACTTCGGTCAACCGTTTCGGTACAAGTAGAATTAATCAGACTATGAGAAAATTACCATAAACAAGGTGTTTAGTTTTGACTTTTAAAAAATCAGGTTTTTAGTTTATTTAATCAAAAATCAGGTTTTAATTTTACATTAATATTAATAATAATATTTTAAATTAAATTAATTTATATACTCACCCTACTACCTACCCCCACCAACTTCATTTAAATATAAAACCCTAACCAAACCCTAACCATTTTATTTCTCCTCNAATTTTAAATCTATGACCTCGAAATAATCTGCGATCTACAGAATTTTTTATCTGTGACCTCGAAATAACCCGTGACCTACAAATGTTTTGATCTGTGACCTCGAAAAAGTCGCAGGATCGGAGCAGTCGTCGGAATTAAGTGCTACCGGAGTAGTCGCTGGAGCAATGGTAGTCGTCGGAGCAATGGGGTGGGGTGGATTATATTACAGTTAAATATTTAATTTAATTTAATAATTCTGAAATGTAATTAATTAATTCAAAAAAAATATGAGTTTTGCAATTTAAAACTTTGGTACCTGATTTTTAATTTGCTGAAAGTAAACCCCTGAACCATAAACTTTTCCCTCGGACTATTCATACAATTGGAGGGCCCCACGATTCACATGGACAAGCCCCGCTATTGACAAAGATGTGCCGCCACGCTCGGGGCATTAGTTTTCAAAATATTACGCAACTGTTTCCCATCTAAACCAGTGAACGCGCTTTTCGTTCTATGCAAGGCTTTCCAAGAAGCGCGCTTTCTCGCCACAGTCCCGCAAATCAGCAAAGAGAAGAAAAACGGTCATCGTCCGGCGATATATCGGAGAGATTCACCGGTACGGCTGATGAACTCGTGTTTAATGAAAGCCTAAAACTTCTCAGACTTTTCTTTCTATCTTCAATATTGAATCATCAAATCGACGAATTAACCGACCGAAGAATTTCATTGCTCGATTACTAAGTGAGATCAATTCATATGGCTGCGAATTCCAATTTGAGCTCGAATCCAAGTCTGATTCAGAATGCAGACAATGCAAGGACAATGTTTCTTCCGGAGATCGGACCTGATGGAATCCCACGAGAATCTCCTGTTATTGCTTACACGGAAAAGGTCTTCTCGTAATGTGTATACAGACACCACACCTACAATGATTAATTAGTTCTGTAATACTTGCTTTTGCATTGGTTTGCAGATAATAGAAGCAGAGCAGCTTCAATTGAGAAAGTAAGTTATTTTTTTATATTTTTTACAAAAAATGTTGCTTTTATCTTTTGCTTTACCAGTTAAATTTTGGTATAGTGTTTTCTTCTATGTTTTCTTTTTAATTCAAAGTTTGTTGCCTTTATCTCAACTGTGAAGACGAAATGCACTTGATGCGTGCAGTTCACTTCAAAAACTGATATGCAGGATATGTTGGATTGGTTTGATTTTCTGATAATTTTCAGAGTTCAGTTACTTCCTTAGTAACTATTGAGCTCATTGGAAGTTAGGAGTAGAAAAACCTAATAGCCATAACTTGCTCTTTTTTTTTCTTTGTTTTGGGGTGGGGGGGTGTTGAAGAAATTGTTTAGTATCTTTTGAGTTTAAAAAAATAAAAAAAGGTAGAGGGAGGTAGAATACAGGAGTCGAGGAGCGGAAAGATAGATAAAGGAGGTGTGTTTGAGAGATCGAGACACCAAAGAGAACAACCGGGTACCCAGGTGAGGTCCATTTCTCCCAACATATGTATATATGGATTATAGTGCCATTTTATTCTAATGGCACATTTAATTGGTTTTTGCATATTAAGTAATGCAGTTCTTTTTTCTGATAATAACAAGTAAGGAGATAATTTAGGACGAACTTAATGAAGATTACTATCTTTGAAATTCCTCGCTCATAGTGAGAAATATTTACATATCCGGTTTCGGGATGGAGGACTTCCCCCCTCAACATATGAAATTTTCTTTAAATTTAGGTAGAAATTTTATATTTTTTTAACATATAGAAAATAAATGTATATTCCGATCCTCCCCCCCCAACATTTGAAATTCTGGCTCTGCTATTGCTCAAAATGAGCTTGCATGAAATATATACAATATTACATCTTGCCATTTCAAACACAGCCATCAATCATGAATCAATATGCTAGCTGAGTGCTGCTAGACTATAAAATTTTCGTTTGTGGAGGTTCTAAATCTTTTATAAATCAGTAATTTATTGAATCAGAAAAGGAAAACACTCGTATACTTGGAAGATACAAGATATTGACTCCCAGTACCACAATTCAGTCTAAAATCCAATCTGTAATCTATACAAGTCTGATGCATGAAACATCCTAATACTATTAACGAATTTATAGACGAAGTCACTTTTTCCAGGTCTTGTCGTCCCATGTAACCCTCATTGAAAGTGGAAACCATCACTTTTATTTCCATTAGGAGATGTGGCAGTGGTTTACTTCTCTAGCTTCGTTCTGTACCGTAGTATTATCTGCACTCACCCAATCCTCAATACATTAAAGAAAAGGAAGCAGTTGGATTACCTTTTTCAACTCAGTACTGAATAGGTCCCAGAAATTGCACATTATGTTAGATCAACCCACACGAGTAGTCTCATGATAGTATTAAGCACCTGTTTGGTTTACATAAAAATATGATTTTTTAGTACATATTGATAAAAGTTGATGGAATGTGTGGTTGAAAGTTGTGAGTCCCATATAATGTGTGATTAAAATTAATTATTAACTAATCGAAATTTAGCTAAATCAAACAAAGGCCAAGTATGGCAGATTTATCTAAAGGGGCGTTATACAACTGGGAAAGCTATTTTCTCAAGACAACTCTCCACACACACTACTAATCTAGCTTGGTGAAACCAACAGGTTTGGAAATCTGGTTTATGCCCTGGCACTTTAAGATTGAATTCCCTATGCTTTGATACTTTCGTTTTCTGTAATTTTAGCCAGATGCTACTTCGTCCCCATTCCTCCCCATTTTCTGAAGCCGTTAGCTAGAGATATTCTACTTGAAAAGATGGTTGAAGAATGTGAAAAATATGATATGTCAGGTCCTCAGGGATAAGGGATGCCTCTGTTATATCAAAAGGTCTTTCTTGGTTGCAATCAGATTTCTGCTCTAGGTTCCTTTTGGTTGCCCTTCACATATATTTAAGTATTATGACTGTCGACTGCATCAGAATTCTTGCTATATGATGGTTGGATCTTTTGAAATTGTTACTTAGTCATCTTTAGATGTTAATTTCTCCTTTTTGGTGATATTCATGAAATTTCTGGTACATCTGCTTAGATACATCGAAGAAAATTATTCCAAGATTCGTGATGTTGAACGAGAATTGGGAAATCTTACAATGGAGATGAAGCTTACTGCTGGTCCAAAGAAAGCTGGTATGTGGTTTGGTATTCCTACTTCCTCTAACAATATTCATCTTCATTGAGTTTAACTGAGAGATCATTTCCTCTTGCATTCATTGTCAGCTCTTGAACACATGCGAAAGAAAATAGAATTGTCAACTGAGAGAATTCGTGTTGCTAAGCTGAATGAAGAGCAGGCACGAAAGGTTCGTCTTTTTTAGATAAATAGCTAATCTTATATCTTTGTAAAATATATACAGCACTTGACTATGATCATGATTCATGGAAGAGACATTTCCAGAGTCATAGCACGCTATCCTCTTCATTTCAGAAATTAGCTGAACATTATTTCAAAATACTTCCATGCATGAATAAAAATGTTATATTGTCGTAGTGAATATATAGATGGAGGACTGAACTTGGGTTGTTGGAAGGGTGTTGTATGGTCCACCTTCACAAGTATAGTGCATAAGTATACAGAGAGTATAAAAGCATGCTATTTCAATGATCCCTGTGTTAAGGATCCTTGTTTGATGTTTATTCAGTTTTACGTCACTTCTTCACCTAAATACAAGGAGAAACGAAAAGCTAGAATAAGAAATCAGGATATTATAAGAACATTGCTTTTCCTCACTTGCCAATTAACTGTTTTATTCTCTTCATTATAGGTGTTAGTTTGTCACTTACCACTTACAAAATGACTATTTCAGTTCTTTATAATTTAATGTATTCAATTTAGCCATCTAAATAATTATAAATGTGAATTTCAAAAATTAGATCTGACAGATGTTCACATTTGTTTATATATATATATATATATAATCAGTATAAAAAGTTCAATGCACGTCGTTGTCTCACATTTCTCTCTCTCAATTAAGTTAAATAAATCTGCAATGAATTTATTTGATTATTGTATATAAACTTTTGGAGATTCTTAGTTTGCATTTTTACCATGTACATCTTTGTTACCTAATTGTAAATCATGAAGTGACCAAGTTACATTAAATTGTCATATTTGTTATTCAAATATAAACATGTGTATATATGAAATAAATTGTTCAGTTTATTGTCGATCAGAAATATGAAGTTGTTAGGGTGTGTTTGACACCCATTTTTTGAAGATAAAATTTTTTAGAATAGTGGTTGATGAGAGAATGTGTGGTGGAAAAGTTTTAGATTTGTGGGTAATATTATTTTATTGGAAGAATGTGTGGTTAAAATGAAGTAAGAGAAAAAAATGAGAATGAGAATGAGATAGAGAATGGGTGCCAAACATGGGCTAATTTGAAGGTAAAGTCATGTACAACAGTACTATAAATATAAAGAAAAGTTAGTAAGATATTCTTATATTTTTTTCTTTTAATTGTAACTTCAGTGGTGTGCTTTATCATGTACTCAAGAATTACGGTGACGAAGTAGTTTAATGGTACTAAAGAAAGTAAATAATATATCCTTTACTTCCTTACATATAAAGATACGAGGAAAAGAAGTTTTTGATGAAAACTAATATGCTTGATTCATCAAGGACTAGGAACTTCGAAACGCATTTCATTTGTGTAGTTTCTTAAAGGCATTTGTGAATGTGGCTTGGTACATTTATTATCTAAAACCAAGAATGTCGGATCATCAGAAAGAACTTTTCAGTTTTCTGTTACTTTGATTTCAGGATGTGAATTAAGCTTCTTAATGTGCACTTTATCTCTTTTCCTATTCACGGGAGTTGTTCTTAGTTTCTCAATCTAGTCTGTTATCATTTATTGTATTTGCTTTTGTTTCCCTGATGAATATTGCGCTGGACTCTAGGCCTGGGAAGCAGCATCAAAAACTGTAAAGGATGAAGAAGCAATTAAACAGAAGCTTTGTGAAGACTTGAATAATCTGGTAGATTTCTTGTTTTACTGAGTCCCCAAGTTTTTGAGCTTATATTTCCTTGAAATAATTTTCGTTTACAGGTTCAGGAAAGTAGCAATGCTCAGTATGCTAGACTGGAAGAATTGAAACGGCGTCTGGAAGCTTTAAACCCGAGCAGATCATCCACTCATGTACCCTCTGTAAGATTTAATTCCTATATCTCTTCATCTAGGAGACTCTTTTGGGATTTCTATAGGTATAAATTGTATTTCCATTTCCAGTATGCTAATGATGTAGATCCTAACTGGTCACATGCTGTTTCCGTTTGGACGTATTGTTCTGCACAAACTTTGGGGAAATACTGAATAAAATGTGTACATATTAAGGGCGTGTTCGGTAGAGATTAAAATCGGATTAAAATTGAAAAATTAGCCGTTATTGTTGACTTTTATTAGACGAGTGGGATCAATAACGGCTATATTTTCAATTTTAATTGGATTTTAAGCTTAGCCAAACATGCTCTAAACAAGTTTTTCTATGGATTGTTTGTCTGTCTCATGGTATGCTAAATTACACACCACCACACACCCATATAGTCTTTTAGATCTATGACAATCTTGGAAATTTAAAAACATGTATGCAATTTAGGCGTAGACGCAAACATAATTATTTGTCTCAGTATGATGCAATCACTAGAACATAGATTCCTCTTCTTCAATTGACTGCTGTACTTCAGAATGATATATTGAGAAGGAATTAAAATCATTTGATGTTGACATAGTGACCTGGAAAAGTAAAAAAATGAAGTGATACAGTTTATGCTTGGAAGTCATTCCAGTTCATAAGAAATTTGGGGCAAGGTTTGGCCTAAATTGTACTAATGGGGAGAAAACCAATCATTACCATGATATGATGATTATAGTATATCACATTATTGAACTTTGTCAAACAAACTTTGAGAGACAGCTGTATATCCACTTTTTTACTCCATAACCATCTGAATTGCACATATGATTATACGTTTTGATCAGTCAATTTCTTGAGCCTTCATTTCCTTTAATGGATTCCTGTAAACTTGTAGATGTGAAGATTCTAGATCGATTAAGTATCCCACTTTTTAGCATATAGGAGATAATGTGTGCGTGATGCGTGAGAACAAAGGAGAAAACTCATCTAAATTCAGTATCTTAAATTATGAGTGGTCAAAGTACTCATCAATTAAAGATTGCTCAGGTGATTTGTTCAGTACCTTCTTATCCGGTAAGTTTGATTTTACTGAGTTGCCTTGGCATTTAGTTTTTCACATCCCTCATTTCTTCATCACAGTGGATATATTTGAAATCATTTTGTTTCTTCTGATGACAAATGAAGAGCAAGACAATATTCTATTATTTCAAAGAGAAAAATGTGATCTAGGGCAATATGAAAGTATACATATAGATGTAATACTTTCTCTTACTCTTGTAATCTTGCTGAGGTGTTAACTTACATATTTTTTCCCCCAGCTTACAGCAACCCAACTCCACTTTGTGTTATAATATTTTAGGCACTATAGCATTTATCAGCAAACAGTAGTGTTCAATCGCACCTCGCCGCCACCAATTGGGTGCTTCATTTTACGAGTTTTTGTAGTATGTAGCTATTTGATGTATTGCTGGCATATTTTAACAGAATAACTCCATCTACGGAGAAGTAAATATTTAGATAGTGAAACATAGAGAACACTTTCATGAACATCACGTCCCCTAAGAAATGTTCTGACTCTGGCTTGAATCCTGTGTTTAGGATGGGAATCCAAGGGGACTGGTAACTCAGGATATTTCCACAGTAAGTACACCAGAACCAGCAGCTGGATCAGCTGCTGATGCATCAAGTCGAGGGAATGTTCCCCAAACAGGTGGTCAGAACCAACAGCCTTCTCTTGATGGTGACGGAAGAGGGAAGAAGAAAAGTATGAACCCCGGGA